CCGCCGCGGCCGCCCAGCGAGTCGAAGAAGCGGAAGGCCCAGCGGAGGCGGGAGAGGCCGAAGCGGCAGCCCAGCAGCGTGAGCAGGCGGAGGGCGCCGCGCTGGAGGCGCTGGCGGCGCGCGGGACCGGCGGTGTCCAGCAGGAACACGGCGCTGTGCGAGCACGACATGGCGCGGGCCCCTCACGCCGCCGCCGCCGCCATCGCCCGCCGGTACGGCCGCTCGCGCCCTCGCCTAGCGCCGGCCCCCATTGGCTGCCGCCGAGTCCCCGCCACGCCCACTCCCTGCACCGCCCTCTCCCATTGGCGGAGAACGGAGAGCGGAAGGGCGGAGCGGTGGGGCGGTGAGAGGGGTGCTCGCTGCTGATTGGCCAGCCGCGCGAAGAGCGCTGCCATTCTATTGGCGAAGGGCAGTGACGGAGGGGGGCGGGGCCAGCGCGCGGACCGAGCCGATTGGGTGCCGCCACCGGTTTAAAATTTAAAGCCGGCGGGGAGCGCCTGGCGGTGACGTCACTCAATGTTATGCATGACGTCACCCAGCGTGCGGTGTGGTGTCACTCATCGTATGGTGTGACGTCACCAGGACAGGGCGGCGGTGTTCGCCGGGTACAGCGGGATCCCCGAGCGGGACCCGGGGCTGAGCCGTGGCCCCGGCCCGGCCCTGCCCACCTCGCACCCCACAGGCTCCCCCGGTGCCGCTAGAGGACCGCGGCTGCCCGCGAACCCGCACCCCATCCCCGCCGCCGCCCGCGGGCACAGGACGGGGACAGTGCTGACCCAGCCTACCCAGAGGGTCCTGCTGCCATGGCATCCTCCTTCCCCAGCCTCCCTGGGACAGCCCAGGGAGCGTATGGGTAAAATTCAGATTCTAATTCAGATTACATATTAAAAAAATAAATAAATTACTGTTCGGGTGGTCAGGCATTGAAATAGGCTGAGCAGGGAAGCGGTGGAGTCACCATCCCTGGATGTGTCCAGGAGGCATCTGCTGGTTTAGGGGTTACAGTGATAATGCTCTGTTGGTGGTTAGGCTTGATTGGAAAGAGCTCTTCCAAACTTGATTCTGTGAAAAGGTGCAGGGTCAGGGCACCTGGACAGGACGCTTGTGGAGGACAAAGACCCTGGGCTGTCATCAGCCCCTCCCTGCAGGGCTTGAAGCATGTCTGTCCCCACGGTGTCAGTGGTCACAGTGTGATCACAGTGGGTAACACAGAGGAATCCCCACAGAGCATCCCCACCCCGGTGTCTGCTCCACCCTCACCTCCAGAGCCAGAGCAGCCCAGCCCAAACCAGTGTCACCAGAGCCAGTGGTATTTATAGAGCAACAAAGACGAGGGGCACTAAAGGGCCCGTTTGGCTCTGTGCTGACTGTGAACACAAGTGGGTTTAATGAGCTGGAACCAGGAGCTGATGCACTCGGCTGGGCAGGAGTAACCTGCCACCAAGAGTAAGAGAAGGACACCAGGTGTCCCTGGGAAAGTGCAGAGGGCAGCCTGCAGCCTCGGGGATGTGAGCTCCCTTCTCCTGGCCAGGGCTGGCATCTCTTGCTGCGTGACATCTCTGTGCTGTTTGAGCCCTGAGGAGGAGCCAGCCACACCATGTCACTGCCATTGTCCAGCCGCTGGCATCTGTCCCAGCAGGCCGCTGAGGACACTTAGCAGAGTGTGACCAAAACCTGCCTTATCACAGTCCCCCTGGGACCCGAAACAAACCCAGGGCAAAGGGCAGCTTCCCAGCAAAGCCTGACAGCTTCCAGCACAGGAACTGCTGCTAGATACTGAAAGCCCTTCTTCTTCCCTGCCCATCTCAGTGGGTTTGCTCTGGAAGCCTGTCCAGCTCTTGGGAGGGCCAGCAGAGGTGTTGGCTGAGCACAGGTGACAGTGTTTCCCAGTGTGACAGCCAGAGTTGCTCACACCCCTGCTTCTTGTGCTGTTTGTGCTGCTTTCACAGACATTTGCCCTCTCTGCCTGCTTCACAAGGACACCAACTTCCCTCTCAAACAGTCCTTGGGTTCTTTCTGGACAATCATTTACTTGCCGGTAAATGCTGTTTCTTAGGAGGAAGGAGAGGGCACAAGAAAAATAATTTGAGAATTTGGCTCATGTGTGGTTGTCACTTTGATCCAAATAATTTATTTTTAGCTTTAAAAAGTCTCACCTTATTTTGTCCTGTTTCCAACATTTATCTCCAAGGAATACTTAATGGTGGGGGCTGAAAAAAAATTATTAGAAAGCCCAGACCTATGTGAAGTGTTTGATCTCCCCTCATAGCACCACTCTGTCCTGCCCCAGTGGAAAGTTTGTTTGCCTTTCTGCTGAGCCAGCCTGGAAAAAAGTTTTGTTTTGTATTGACTCAGATGCTTTGCCTTCAGGTCACTCCTCAAGGACCTCCACAAGCAACAAGTCACCTTTGATACTGGGCAATGCCCAGAGTCTCATTTACGCTACACCAAGGCTTCCAGGACTCCCCAAATCCTCATTTTCCACCCCATGTGCCCAAAGGCTACTGGTGGTGGCTGCTTTGAGCACTGATTTGGGGAGCACCCATTCCCTCCTCTCCAGGGTGAAGCTGCCCCAAGGCCTCCAGGCAAGAGGGAGGGATTTCCTGTGCTTTAGATTTTGTCTCTACATCTTTCAAACATATTTAGTGCTCATAAAAGTGAGAAACTGGGAGAGACCCAGCTGGGACCAGTACTGTACAACCCTCACCCAAGGTAACTGAGATCTGGACACTGCCAGATCTGGTCCCACGTCTCTTGAGCAGAAAGGCAAATGTTCCTTCTCCCCCAGCATCATTCTAGAGATTTTTTGGGGGAAACCTTGCAGCTCTTAGGGGTGCTGGACATGATGGGTGAAATTCTGTGGTGGAGGAAGCTCACACCAGGCTGAAGTTTCCAACAGGACATTTAAGCACCCTGATATTTGTGACTGAGGCATGGTGAAACCTGCCCTGTGTGTCCTACCAGCCTTGCAGGGTGGGTGCAGTGGTGGTCTAACCCATTGTAGGGAGTGCCCTGCCAGCACTGCTGCAGACCCACGTGCTGGCACAGCCCACCAGCCTTCCCAGTGCTATCCTGGCCCTGGAAAGGAGCCTGGAGAGAAGCTGGTCCCTTAATGGGCTCTCACAGCACGGACAGCCAGTGGAGCATGCCAGCCCTGCTGGGACTGCAGTGACAAAGTGCTGATCTGCAGCTTGATAAGGAGGGGCAGTGCAGCAAGGTGAGACTATCAGGCCAGCAGAAAAGCCATTAGCCTTTGTTCCTGGCCTCCACACGTGGGAAGAGGGGCTGGGGACAGCAGGTGGGACAGAACTGCTGCCTCTGGGGTCTGCACAAGGGCTTTGCAGGCTGCTTTTCTGGACACCCTGCCATTTCAGTGATGGCATAGATTAGAAAAGCTCTGCAGTTACTCTTTTGCTCAAGTAATCACAAAGTGTAGCTGCTGGTGGCTACAATACCTAGGCAAGTTCCCTTTTGTTTTAAAATGCTGCTCTGTGCTGCCTTTTTGAGGTGTCTAAAGGCTGCTCTAGGGCAGGGCACAATACCAGTCCTACCACGTAGCTGGCATGAGAACAGGCAACTGTCAACAGCGTTCCAGCAATTAGAGATCAAGTATTGTCTGGGGATTTCAGCTTCCTTCTAGCTGGAGATCTTTTGTATCCTGGCGTGCACAGCCCTGTGTAATGGGAGACCCAAAACCACACCCTGAGCAGCATTGCTCGAGGGGGAGCTTGTCCTTCAGACAACAGCAAAATCCCCTTGCTTTAGGTGTCCCCAAAAAGTGACCCCAGTCACGTGGAGCTCTGCTCATGCAGGGTGAGGGCTAAGGCAGATGGGCTTCTCTCTTTTTTCAACACTGTCTCTATCCTGCTGCCTGCATGAGTTCAAATGAGGTTGAAGGATGATTTTTGTGTGGCCGTCAGTCTCTTCAAGACCATCCACAGCATTTTTCTGCCATCTGTCATTTTGAGAAGAAAAGCACACAAGAAAAAATAATAAACTCAAATTATTGCCTAATCAACACCAAAATCAGTGCTGCTTGCTCAGCCTGCGGGCCACAATTAGATGCCATCAGCAAATTTGGGCAGCTTGCCTGGGCTGCAGTCTTTCATCTCTGGAAGACTGACAGGCAAACCAGGGATCTGCAGGCAGAGGAAGGAGCTGGGATCCATTTGAAGGACTTGCCTGGCCCTTTGGGGAAAGAGCACATAATTCAAAAGAATAGGAAAAATGGACTTTTGTGTTTATGTTTGTTAATTAAAGGAAAACCATACCAGAGGAGGAGCTGTTTAGGCCTCCAGCACCCTCTCACAGTATTGCCCTGGTTATGCAGCCCCAGCTCAGTTTGCTTTGCCAGGAGGATGCTCTGGGTAAATCACTTTGGGAAATGATGGAACACGTGTCACTTGAACATCCTTACAGCCTTGGCAGGGCCATCACGTGTCTCTGCATTCATGGAGGATCTCAGTACCCGGTTTGAAGATCACACCTTCCTGTTCCTCCTGTTCTGCACCTCAGCTGCTTTTCCAAAAGCCAGGAGCTGGAGCAAAGGGCAGTGCCTTCACCCACAGTGCCAGCTGGGGAAGGAGATCTCAGAGCTGGGGAGGGGGTGAGGGGACAGAGCCGGGAGGGAGGGGACAGCGGGATCAAGGAGCTCCTGGCAGGGGCAGGGAAAGGGTGTGGGACTGGGCAGAGCAGGGGGCTGGACACTGAGTCGCACTGGCCTCCACATCTGCTGGTCCCTGTGGAGGCAGGGCTCAGAGGTGCTCGGAGCAGCTCAGAGGAAAGGTGCTGAGGCTGTCCCTCCTACCGGGGAGGAAGGTGGGTGAGAGAAACAGCCCTGCTGAAGTTCCAGTGCTCTGAAACGTGATCCCGCCGGAGGCACCTCCCTGGGCCCCACCTCGCCCTCCCTGACCGATATATGTGCCCGGCCCTGGGCGGCGCGGGGGCCGCAGCTCGCTCAGCCCCCGGGAGCCCCTGTGCAGGGACAGGAGCGCCAGGGCATGGCCAAGAACACCAACATGCGCTGGCGGCTGCCGCTGGTGTGCCTGCTCTGGGAGCTGGCCATGATCGTCCTCTTCGGGGTCTTCGTGCGCTTCGGCGCTGAGGCTGACGCGCACTGGGAGGAGGAGAAACGGGACATGAACCTGACCAGTGACATGGAGAACGACTTCTACTTCCGATACCCCTGTGAGTATTCTGGGAGCCTAATCCTTGTGCTGGCTGGTCCCCATCCCATCCATCCCATCCCATCCCATCCCATCCCATCCCATCCATCCCATCCATCCCATCCTATCCCATCCCATCCCATCCCATCCCATCCCATCCCATCCCATCCCATCCCATCCCATCCCATCCCATCCATCCCATCCATCCCATCCCATCCCATCCCATCCCATCCCGAACTATCCCATCCCATCCCATCCCATCCCATCCCATCCCATCCCGAACTATCCCATCCCATCCCATCCCAACCCGATCTATCTTATCCCATCCCATCCCATCCCATCCCATCCCAACCCATCCCATCCCATCCCATCCCATCTTGATCTATCCCATCCCATCCGTCCTATCCTGTGCTGGGGCAGAGCCTGTCAGAGGTGCTGTCTCCACCAATTGCTGGAAGGTCACACTCTTGCCTCGAGGCTGGCTTGGGGTTCACCAAAGAACCAGAGAAAAGCCTCATGGTCCTCTGGTGCCTTGGGGCTCTGTCAGCAGCGTACCATGACGTCTTTTTTCCAGGAATAGGGCTGACGTGTTCCCAACACTCTGCAAGTTTCAGCTCTCTGCCCCCTCCCTCAGCTTTGGATCAGAGCAAGCCTTTCTGTGCACACAGAGGATCGGCTGTTGAGATCCTGTGACATCTTCCTCCTCTTCCTCCGTCCACCCCCTCACTTGTGAATTACCCTTTAGCTACTGGCATTTTGGTGCCAGAGTCCTCCTGAGCTGCCAGGTTCGCGGGGTTCTTGGGTTCTGCATCACAGTGACACAGAAATTATTCAGAAGGTTAAAGCTCTTCTGGCCAGCCAGTGCCTCTGGGTGGCTTTGATCTCCAAGGCTGGTCATCTTTGTGAGCCTTTCAGAACATGCTGCTTCTGTAGGCAATTGTTTCCAAGGAAGCAACAGGCCTGAGTCATGCATCTATTTAGAACATTTCCATTAAAAACACCTGCTAAATCAAAGGAGCTATAGCAACCTGTGGCTGCTGAGGATTAGCTAGTTGAGAGAAGGATTTGCTTACAGAAACCCACTGCTCAGTCAGCCTCCAGGTTCATGTACGGTCGTGGCTGCCCTGGGCTCTCCCTGGACATCTGCCCTTGGGACCAGCCCCACACAGGTTGATGTGAAGCAGCAGCAGTGCCTGAGGGCTGCTCTTGTCACTGGTGTGCTGGGAGGACATCAGGAGTCCAAGAAAGAGTGTGTAGGAGCTAAGGAAGTGACATCTCTTCTGTCCTCATATCCCACTCCTGCTCTGCAGTGCCAAATATTCCCCCTCAAATGGCAAGATGGATTCAACACAACTAAATCAAGCTAAGGGCAACTGCTCAGTTTAGCTTTGAATTACGTTTCTCTTTCAGGCCTGAGGAAGAGCTCACGTGCCCAAAAGCACAGCTGCTCTTTCTCCCTTATCTAATCAGAAATTTTGTCTCTCTGCAAAGATGGACAAACATGACGAGGTGACCAAACCCTGGAATTTTAATCCTTGTGTCCATCCTGTGCTGCTCAGAAGACTGTGGTGATTGATCACCCGAAGATCATTTGTACCAACATATCTGTGACCACTGCTGTCCACAGCATCTGTCTGCAGTGGCAGAGGGATAAGAGTGACAAATGAACGGGTCCTTCAAGCCAGAGAAGATTGGGAAGGCAGGCAGAAGGAAGTTGTCCTGGTTTCAGGAAACCAATATGTGGTTGTGTCAATGGTGCCCATTGCCAGGTCCACTCAGTGAGACAATTCCTTCTCATTTTGGATTGCAAGTTGATATTTTGTAATCAGTGACTCATCTGCTCTCTAGGGTAAAAGAAATGAGATTTGTTTGTCCCCGAGAGCATTCCCAAAGCCCAAACACTTATTCTTGATAGTTATGGCAATTGTCCTGGCACAAAAGCAGGCTTACAAAACCTGTAGGGCATGGCAATGCCTGTACTGCCTCTGAATGATAACAATGTTATTCTTACTAAGGGAGAACAAAGGCAAGGGTTAAAAAAGGTTTTAGATTGGGTGTGGTTTAAGGAAAGATCTGCTCTTCCTCCTGAGTTCATACAGGGTCTAACACAATGGGATCCTCTAGGTTTTGGGAAGGCATGCAGTCCATGGCTTTAACTCTGACCTGTGTGTTTCTGCTTTTAGGGTGAGAAAATGAACATATGATGCAAATGGCAGCAGATAAATCTAGCTGTGTATTGTGCTGCTTACACTGGAAAAGAGAGAGGAGAAATAAATACAGCTGCAGAGGGAAAGTCTACGGGATTGTGTGGCAAAACCACAGTAACTAAGATTGGTTCTTAGGACATGTGGAGAAGTGCTTTGGAAGTGACCTCTGCTGAACAGTGCCAGCTGCAGATCTCGTCTCCTTCCTTTTTAAAGAGTGATTTCATAGACATGGGGGACATCTTTTAAAAGCAATCAGATTAGCATGGCACTACATGGCTTAAGCCTGTCCAAATGCTCATCCTTAAACAAGTTACAAGGTCTTCTCAGCTTCTACAGAGCTGCACTTCACACAAGTCTTCACCCACCCTCAGTGGAAACAGCAGACATAAGCTCTGTGAAAATGGACCAGGAGCTGATGGATTTCAGCACAGTTTCGGGGTAGAGCAGACTTGCATCCACAGAATTTCCTTTGCCCTGAGCTTACACCCTCGCTGAGTGCACAGACTTTGCTGGATGTAGTGGCTATAATAATTTCTGCACTGCAAAATGCAGAACATTCTGGTTTAGCTCCCTCAGTGCTGTGTTTATCTGCTCTGCAGCATGGTTTTGCTGGCAGGAGTCTCCCAAGGGGGATCCCAGCCTTGGGTCTCCTGTTCTTTCCATTGGCTGGGAGGCCTGCAGTGTTAGGGTTTGCATGGTTCAATTTGAAAGTATGCAAGCGTTTCAGCTCACTTAATTGCAAAGGAATGCTTATCTGATAGAAAGGTGCAGCATTAAAAAGTACAGCAGGTTTACGGCACCAAAAGGTCTTTCAAGAGGCTCACACAGATCTGGTTTCCCCCGGGGAAGGGCATCTGAGGGGCTCGGGTGAGCAGCTCTGACCATTAGTGGGAAGAACTGGGTCTCTCTGGTTTGAGCACTAAAAATCTCACACGGTGGGTTTCTGCTCTCAAGGGTATTTTGCTGCTGATTTCCAAAGCATTTAGAAGTGTATTTGTAAACTTTCTTTGTTCTTGTGCTCTCCTTGCTCTGAGCCATCACCAGGACCCTGCACTGAATGGACCTACCCAAAATGGCCATTTATGTGTTTTAACAAAACTTTACTGTTCATTTCACGTGATGGTTTTGAGTTTTTCACAAAAGGAGAAAAAACAATCTGAATAGAAAAAGGTTTTCCTTTGTACACTCCATTACTCTCAGGTCTTCTTTTGCACGCAGCTTTTAGTAAACATTTCCTTTAAAGGCTGAGCCTTTTAACCAAAAGCCAATTTCTAAAAGTTGAGCCATTTTCAGACTTAGAAGCATGGGGACATGAGGCAAACACGCATTTCTCTTGAATTTCCCCCCTACTGCTACTGATGTAATTAGTTTCTTTTCAACAGCAAATGCACGTGGCACTTGCAGCCCTGCTGTCCTTGCAGAGCTGACAGTCCCTTCCCTCTGCACAGCTTTCCAGGATGTCCATGTGATGATCTTTGTGGGCTTTGGCTTCCTCATGACCTTCCTCAAGCGCTATGGATTCGGAGCTGTGGGTTTCAATTTCCTCCTTGCTGCCTTTGGGATCCAGTGGGCTCTCCTGATGCAAGGCTGGTTCCACTCTTTCAAGGACGGGAAGATCTTCATTGGAGTGGAGAAGTAAGGAGGAGCTGGGCTCTGGGATGGCACCTCTGGCCTGGCCAGTGGAAGAGCTGGAATGAGAGCCAAGCAGTTGGCAACTCCTGTATGTCAGTGCAGGGAACACAGATCATCCACATTACCTGAAAAATGTTGGGATGTGAGGATGGGAGGAAGGTCAGTGGGAAATCCAGGGAATCCTAACCACTTCTTTGTCTTCAGGTGGCATCTCTAGAGGTGGGGATGGGTAAGAGTGATTTACAGAGAAGATTTTCCGTATTAAACCACAATTTTCCTTCCCTTTTTCCAGCCTGATCAATGCTGATTTCTGCGTGGGCTCTGTGTGCATCGCCTTTGGGGCCATCCTTGGCAAAACCAGCCCCATACAGCTCCTTGTCATGACTTTGTTTCAAGTCACACTCTTTTCAGTGAATGAGTACATCCTCCTCAACCTTCTTCATGTAAGGCTTTAGGTAGTACCTGCTTTGTTCTGCTCCTTTCTCTCTGCCCCTCTCCAAACTGTCTCCCTTTGCTATGTCTCCACCAAGGCACTGCCTTTATAGGCATTTAAAATGCAAGAATCCAGACAGCAAAAATAGGCAGATTGTGAAGGTGAGGGGCAGTGGTTCATGCTTCCCTGGGAAAGGAGATTTTCTGGAGTTTTACACATAAGCCTGGCAATTCAGGAGCACTGGGTCCCTCTGTCAAGTGCACAGACAAGCTGGGCATGATGCAAATCAGGCCTCAGCTCCAGAACGAGTGGAGATTGCAGAGGCAAAGCTTTGTTTTCCCATGGCTGCAGGTGAAGGATGCAGGTGGCTCCATGACCATTCACACCTTCGGAGCCTACTTTGGCCTCACGGTGACACGGATCCTGTACAGACCCAACCTGGAGCAGAGCAAGGACAAGCAGGGCTCTGTGTACCACTCTGACCTCTTTGCTATGATTGGTGAGCCAGCCCTCACCCTGGGGTGATGCTGCATGGGGAGCTCTCAGCTGCACAGGGCTGGTTCCTCCCGTGTCTCTGGGAAAAATGAAACCAGCACGAGTTGAGGAGCTCTGTATCCCAAAGGTCTTTCGCATTTCAGAGTTACTCAGCTCTCTTCATCAGTGGCTGAGCTGAGATGGTGCTTGGGAAGATCAGGATGCATTTTGGTTCCCTTTCTGTGCCAGCCTTTCCCGATGCTGGTCTCATAATGCGGGGTGTGGATCTGGGGAAGCAGGACTATGGGATGTAATTTCCCCCTGTGCAGAAGAGTTTTGTTTTCAATCCCTGTATTCTCTCTTTTCCCTTTCTCTTCCTCATCCCATGTGCCCCATCCCACCAGGTACCCTGTACCTGTGGATGTACTGGCCCAGTTTTAACTCAGCCATTTCTGACCACGGGGATGCCCAGCACAGGTCTGCCATTAACACATACTGCTCGCTGGCCGCCTGTGTCCTCACCACCATGGCCTTCTCCAGCATGCTGCAAAAGAAGGGCAAGCTTGACATGGTAAGATGGGAGCACAGAGCCCTGCACTGCCCCAGGGACATATAATGAGGTTGATCAAAGGTCTAGGAAACAACTGGCACTTGTGTTTTGCTGAACAGACACAGGGTTTCCAGGGATGATGGTGAAACCAGCATCCAGCCAGAAACTCTGAGGGTGTATTGAATAAGAAAGTGGGAATGGGTCCTGCAGGGCTTGAAGTGTGGGGTGATGCCCTGCCAAGTCACAGCAGGGACTGGACTTGCTCTTGGACATGTTGCAGAGCCCTTTTTGGCAGCGCTCCCCATCAAACAAGGCCTGCGCAGCAGCTCGTGAGCAATCGGGGGGCTGACTCGTACGTGTTGATGTGTGGGTGACAAGTCTCTGTGACAGCAGAGCTTGCATGACACACGGGTGAGACAATTTCCATCTCATCACAACTCCCCACCCATATCTGTGGATGCAAAGAACGTGTGTGGTACGGGGAGTGGGAGTCTCTGTGCACCTGTGCTACAGACAGAAGCTGCCTGTTCTTTTCTTGTTTTTCACCACCAAGTAGGAAAATGGGCCCTGATATTTCCTCTGGAAACATTTTCAGAGCTGATTCTCCCGCTTTGCCATTTGCACCATCCCTGAGCAATTGCAATGTCCCTGGGATGCCAAGGCAGAGTGGTTGCCCCTGCAGGTGCACATCCAGAATGCCACGCTTGCCGGCGGCGTGGCCGTGGGCACCAGCGCCGAGATGATGCTGACCCCGTATGGCTCCCTCATTGTGGGCTCCATCTCTGGCATCGTGTCCACCCTGGGCTATGTCTACTTCACGGTGAGTGCTGCTCCAGGGGCCTGCAGCCCTGCTCCTGCTGAGGAGGCCAGAAATGGATTCACTTCCCTTTGATGGTTCCTGCTTTCCAGAATCCCTTGTGAGATCCCTTCTGTCTCCTTTCACTGCCCCAAAACGCTCAACAAGTTTCAGACTCCCAACAGGAATGTGTTTGGAGGATGTGTTGTTAGTTTATCTTGAGCTTGGCTCACATCTTTGTCTACAAGTTTTAGCTCTTTAATGGGACACAGTATCTCTCCTCTTTCTCTGCTTATCGCAGTCCTCCATGGAAGAAACTAATCCTTTCCAGGACCACACTCAATTCCCTGATTTCTCTCTACTTCCCTTCCCCTCAGCCTTTTTTGGAGTCCAGGTTGCACATTCAGGACACATGTGGCATCCACAACCTCCATGCCATGCCAGGCCTTATTGGGGGCATTGTGGGGGCCATCACAGCCGCTGCAGCCACGGAGGATGTGTATGGAAAGGAAGGGTAAGATGGCTTGAAAATATTCCCTGAGAACAGATTTTACCTGAAGCTGTGTGGGCTGGGAGCAAATAACAGCTTTTGTTAATAGTTCAGAGTTGCCCAGAGATGTCCCTCAAAAATATGTGTTGCACTGACTGTGTTTGGCTTACTGAAGTGTAGCCTCATCTTATGCATCTGACTCTTGGTGGCCTCATAAAGTGAGCCACAGTCCCGCTGTTTGGCATTATTCTGGGCCACAGTGGGGAGGGATGTGCTTCTCCCTCTACCCTGCATTGTTTTGTGGGGTCAGGTAAGGCTAAAAGTCTGCATTACAAAGAGAATGTTTGTATTTTGGGCTCCTCCTTGGTAAAGCTTTGCCAGGGGCTAGTGAAAGAAGTGAGTGGTGTTTTGGTCATTGGTCCACTACAGAAGAGGGATGGGGGTAGGGAAGAGCTCCCAAAAGGGCAAGGCACCATGGTTCCTCCGGAGCCAGAGAATGCCTCCTGCCAGGGGCTATCATCACCATTTCTGCCCTCCTGCCAGGGGCAATCTCACCATTTCTGCCCTCGGCAGGTTCATCAAGGCGTTTGACTTCACGGGCGTGTACCAGACGCGGACACCCAGCATCCAGGGAGGCTTCCAGGCAGCCGGCATTGTGGTGTCTCTGCTGATGGCATTCGGTGGGGGAGCCATCGTGGGTAAGCCGGAGGGCAGCGCGGAGAGGGGAGGATGCTCAAACAGCGGCATCCATGTGCCGGATCCATCCTGGGGGGACGGCACCGAGCGCCGTGCCAGGGCTGCGTGGACCACCCGCATTCCCCCGTGCCCACCGCCCTGCCCTCCTCCTCGCAGGGGGCATCCTGAAGCTGCCCATCTGGGGGGACGCCGCGGCCGAGAACTGCTTCGAGGACGGCATTTACTGGGAGGTGAGCGGGCCGGGAGCGGGAGCGGGGCGGGGGGCACGAGATGGCGCTGTCGGCCTGCGGCCCGGTCCGGGGGGCTCAGGGGGCTCTGCCGCAGGTGCCGGAGGACGAGGAGAGCGACGTGTACCACATGCACAACCCCGACAAGCCCGCCTCGCCCTGAGCCGCGCCCCGCCGCCCGCCCGCCTTCCCCGCCGCAGCACCGAGCGCAGAGAGACCGTCCGCTCCCCGAGACCGCGGGGCTCTGCCCTGCTCTGCCGCTTTTGTGGATATAATAAAGTCGTGTTCTTCTTTCCAGGCCTGTGCTGCCGTGTGTCAGCGGCCGAGCGGGATGGGATGTGCGGCACAGGGATGGGATGGGATGTGCGGCACAGGGATGGGATGTGCGGCACAGGGATGGGATGGGATGTGCGGCACAGGGATGGGATGTGCGGCACAGGGATGGGATGGGATGTGCGGCACAGGGATGGGATGGGATGTGCGGCACAGCCGCTGCCAGGAGAGCTCTTGGCTGCCCGGGGCAAAGCAGAGGCGCTGGGACACTCCTGGTGCCCTGGGGACAAAGTGGAGGCATGAACGGTGGCAGCACGAGCTGGGTGTGTTAGACAACGTATTTGATAATGCAGTCTGGGGAGATACTTGGTTTGGGAGCTGGCTCCTTGAGATGACAGCCCCCACGGTGGGAAGCACAGGCTGGGCTGGTTCTTTTTGAGGAGGGATGCAGGGGTGCAGCAGCTGAGCCTGTACTCATCCTGCCATCCACGGTGGGGCTGAGGGCCATTGTGGGTCCAGCTACACTTCTACATGATGCCCTCTGCCATCACCTTCCCTTGAACTGCTCTTTCAAGGCCTCCATCAGCTCCTTGGAACCTTTTTTGCATGTACAGCACAGGCTGAAAGGACCTTTTCCTCCTTTTTGGCTTCATCCATTTCTTCCAGTGCCATCAGATGTCTCTTTCCACTGTCTGGTGCTATTCTGATGGGAAGAAGACAGCCCCCATCTCTTAGCTGGACCATCAGGCTTCAGCCAGAGTTGGAGGACACAGGGATGAAAACCAGGCCTAAAATCCTGCATGTTTTCCAGGGTGATATAATATGAGGAGCAGGAAAGGAAAAGGGAGGGAGGAAAAGGAGGTAGGAGGGCTGATAGGTCTCTTCACTGCATCTAGCTGTAATTCTTACACCTGAGGGGGGGAGTCAAAAGCAGCTATTCACATCCCCTTGGGATATGACACCCTCATTTTCCATGCTGGGTAAAGACAAAAACCCTTTACAACATGTTTCTGGAATTTGTCAGCGGCTGCCAGCAGCAGCATGTTAATTAAATGTCGGCAAAGATGGAAGCAAGAGGCTCTGCTCTAATTGGACACTTTGCTTGGTGGAGCTGAAAAACATTGTGACAGAGGAGGAGGTGCCGAAACACTGTGTTCCCCTGCCATGGCGGGGACGGGGAGAGCCAGGCACCCAGACGCTCTCTCCTGTACACACGTTGCCTCCATTTGGCCTGAAACAACCTCACCATTGAAAAAAGAAGAGTAATAAAAGGCCTAAAATCCTCCACAGGATTGGTTTCCAGCACAGCAGCAGTGTGGCATGCAAGGAGAGGGCTGGTTGGCTGAGGAGAAATTCAGAAATATCGTAGCTGGGCCAGCTGGAGCTCCAGCCTGCTTGCCAGCAAGTGGTGTATTGTATATTTCTTTTATGATGGCAAAGGCAGGTCTGACAGGGGTTAGAAATGGTCTCTGGAGAATGATCCCTGCAGAGGCTGAAACATACATTGAGCTCATCCTTTCTCTAAGACAGGGATGGGAAAATGTAGGGCAAGTGTTTTCCCTGTGCTGGGATCTGCTGAAGGAGGGGGATCTCATCCCAGCTTCTCTGCCCTGGGAAAGGGATGTAACAGCCATTTTCTGCTCACGGCTTCATCCAGAGGGTGCATCAGAAACCACCACAGGGATGTTCACTGACAGGCACCACAGGCAATGTCATTTCAGAAAGGAAGTCCAAAACTTTTCCCCACAAGTCTGAAAAATCTAAAAGCAGAAGCAGACCTTTTGGGTACTGCGTTTCCTCCTGTGTGACTGGACTGGTGTCCCTTCATCCCACACCATTTAAGTTCTGTCTGCGCCCCAGATAATCTGTGTGTCCAACCTTCGTGGCCTCTGGTCTTTCCTCCCAGCAGCTCGCGAGGGTCCATGTAATGGTAAAGACTGGGTGACCCTCATTCCTTCAGCAAGGTGGCCAACCCACATCTCTGGTGACAGCTCTGTGAGCCCTGGGAGATGGTCCTGTTCCATGTGCATGTGCCGAAAGAAGCAGCCCTGACCCAATTCCCCGGCCCTCTGGGCTGTGCCTCCTCCTCGTGGGAAGACCCCTAAATTGCCGGGGCTGCTGGGCAGCGAAGCGTTTTATTGCCCGTGCTCTGGCGGGGCTCAGTCTGGTCTCAGTGCCTAAATCACTCGCTGGGGCTGGCCGTGCAGCTTTAATTCCCTGCCAAACAATGCCGGGAGCGGGCTGCCGCGTTTGAAGTGCGCCCGCGGCCCCAGCGGTGGACGGAGGGTTTCCCGACGGGGGAGCGTGGAGAGCAGAGGATTGGGCTGCTCCAGCAGGCGGGAGAACGTGTGAGAAAGAGGCTGGAGATACTCGCGGGGATTAGGTGGTACAAATTGGCTGGGAAGCACCGGAGCCATTGACCAAAGTTGTCCTGGGGCAGGTTCCCATGGGGGGGGGGGGGGGGGGGGTGGCTGAAACAACCTGCCTTCAAGGAGGCTGGAAGGCCCAGCCTGGCTGCTAATCCCCTGGGATCTCTGTGGCATGGAGCAGAAAAGAGGTTAAAAAAAAGGGAAAATCTCATGTAAAGGTGGTAGTTTCCCCAAGGGGATGATGTTAGAGAGAGAAGGGAGGAGGTGGGGGGGAGGAACAGCATAGTTTAATCCCTCTTTTAATAGGCAGGTGGTGGGCTTTGCTCGCACTCCTGCTCCTGCAAGCTGCCGCAGAGATTTTGGCAGAAGGCCTTTGCTCACCTCTGCTGTCCCCACTCTCGGTGGAGAGGGGCCCATCTGTGGATCTACTTGGGACAAGGGGGTTTGCCTGCTTACTACACCTGTGCCCATATGTTTGCTGGTCTGCACAGGTGCACATACATGGTGTCAAACCCAGATTTGGGCTGAAATGGGCTCATTGTACACCCCAGCCACTAGCCACTGCGTATCTGCTGCTGGCAGCATGCCCAGGTGTACAAAGTCACACATCCCCACAGCCTGCTTGACCTTGCACAGGTGGCACACTGAAAGTCATGCTGCAGGTGCTGCTGGTGGTGCTATTGGTCATGGTGCCACTGTGCACATACTCCCACCTGTGCCACGCACACCCAGCCATCTTTGGGCCAGCTAGTCCAGGCCCGGCCTGCCCACATGTACAAAGCCACACATCCCCACAACCTCCTTGACCTTGCACAGGTGGCACACTGAAAGCCACACTGCAGGTGCTGCTGGTGATTCTCACACACTGTTGGCCATGGTGCTACCTGTGCCATGCACACCCAGCTAGCTCTGGGCCAGCGCAAGCAGCATGTCCAGGCCTGGCCTGCCCATGTGTACAAAGCCACACATCCCTACAGCCATGGCCTCAGCCTCCTTGACCTTGCACAGGTGGCACACTGAAAGCCACGCTGCAGGTGCTGCTGGTGATGTTCACACACTGTTGGCCGTGGTGCTACCTGTGCCACGCACACCCAGCCACCTTGGGCCGGCTTGTCCAGGCCCGGCCTGCATGAGCCCCGCTGCAGCCCCTCTGAAGGAGCGCTGTAAATTGTAATCAGATTAGGGCAGCCGGTCGCTTAGGGCCCTTGAAAAGGGCATACGTCCCCTCATCAGTACCTAGCATTGAGTCGCACAAAGGGTCTAAGTAACTCGGCAGGGGTCGGGCCCTCTGGAGCGCAGGGGAGGGGGCTAGCCTTTCTTTTCTCTCTGTCCCTTGTAATTATGTCAATTTGCTAGCCAAATTGTTTGCTTGAGTGGACAGTGGGGGCTTGCCCCCCTTCACACCTCCCCCCCACCCCTAACTCCATTCATGTGCTAATGTGGGAAGGAGCACGGCCTCCTGACTTCGGGAGGTGGCCATCAAGGAGTAAAGCTCAGGGGGACATCGGCCAGGAGCCCCCCATTTATGTGCCCACGGATGCCTTGGCCTCGCAGCCCCAATGAACAGGGCTCTCCTGGTTACTTTACCCCGTGGCAGGGTGTGCAATGGCCCAGCAGCCCTGGCCAGCCCTGGCTTTCTCTGGCCACCCCTCACCTGTGCCACATGCCCTCCAGGGCCATGGCATCCCCAGGGCCAGGAGCCTTGCCCTCTGCACTGCGGTTTTCCTGGCACACCTCCCCACCCACTCACCTCCCAGCATTTGCATATATTCTGCCCACAAATCCTTGTCAAGGGGACCCTCTTTATTGCCTGTATAGATCACAGGGTGTTAGTTAAGGGGCTTCTTTGTATTGCCTCAGACAGCTGGGGTCATCAAAAGTCCTGTGGTGGGAAGGAGAGACAGGAGGAGGGGGGAAGCTCTGACAATACAGACTGAAGGATTAAAGGAGCATATAAAGTTCCTATTGAGTGAGACAAGAGGCTGTTCACTCCCAAGATTGACAGCAACCAGGAGGCGATTCCCAACACAATGTCCAATTAATTCTCTACCCTCTTCGCTGCCGTCTCCTCCTCCCTCCTCTCCTGGGCTGGGGCATGAGCAGGGAAGGGCTGAAGCTAAGATCCTTGAGAAGGTAATTAATTATTCCTGACTAAGAGGAGCTTGCTGAGGTGAAGGCCAGTCCCCAGGCTCGCTGGGCATCCATCCCCCTCCTACAGGCTGCCATCAGTTTGGGCCACTTCAGGGTAGTTTTCCTCTCTATCACAGAGCTGTCCCACCTAAGGTCCATCTTCATGGCATGTGCTGGACAATAATCTGGGCTACTGCTGCGCCCGGAAGAGAAAGATTTAGGGCTAAAGCCAAGCTGACAGTGGAATGCAGTGAACAAGGCAGCAGGAGGAAAGCCAGGGAGCAGGGCAAGGTACATGACCAAGATGTATGGGCATGCAGAGCATCTGGGGAGAGGCAGAGCAGCATGTGCTGACCTGATTTTACCTGTGTGTGCAGTGGCAGTGGTTAAA